AGGAAGTTTAGTTTAGTTTAAAGGATTGCATAAAGTTTAGATTAGATTTAAGGTGAGGTATGTACTGATAACAGTTATGTTAAGGGTTGTGGCCAGGGTTAGGCATTTTAAATGAATGAAAAATTAATAGAATTCAAGGAAAAGTCCTTATAAAGATAAAAGATTGTGAACATGTGTGTTTGTCATGACTCCTGGGGGTGCAGTTTAGTGAAGGACCTGGATGCTAACATCCAGACAGGAGATAAGTGAATATATAAATACCAAAATACATGATTGATAACTATGGTTAATTGTAATTTATTCTTACATTTTTCATATTGATATACTTTCAGTCTGAATTGCGATCCATATTTATGCTTTTTGGTTTGTTTTTTATATGTTTACATACGATATTATCTATTTATTTAAATCAAAGTCTAAAAAACATGTTTTCCGGATTTAGTGAGTAATGTTTCAGTTGAGCCTTCAGTGGTTGCGCTTCTGCAGAAATGTTGCCATGTCTACCCCAAAAAATAGGTCCGACAGCTGCAGTGGATCTAGAATGCTGCTGCTGGCATCCTCACTAAGAATCTCACAGAGAATCTACCTTAAAATTCTTGTGTTAGTCTATAAATCACTGGAAGGCTTGGCTCCAAAATACATTACAGGCTTGCTGTCAGTGGATCAACCCCGAGACCTCTGAGGTCTTCTGTCTGAAGTCGTCTCTGAATACCCAGAACCAGAACCAAACAGCATAAAACAGGGTTTAGGTGGTATGTTCCACAAATTCTGTAACAAACTCTGTAAAAGATGTAAATCCAGAATAAATACATATATACATAAACATACATACATCTGATTATAATGATTAACTTGTATTCTTTTCAATCATTTGTTTTGCCTCTATGCCATTGCAATGTAGTTTTCTTTTTCTTTTTTGTTTCCTCCTGTACGACATTTTGGATTTTGTCTTGCCACTGAAATCTGCTATATCAGTTAGCTTGCCTTGCCTTAAATCAATTTATAGTAGTGTGGACATAATCCATAATCTATTTCAGTCCTTCAGAAACCAAACTTTAGCATATAAATATATATTTATATATATAGTTTTTACTGTGTTATTAAAGGTTATTGGTTTATTAAAAGTTATTTGTTTATTAAGCCCATTTATACCAAATAAAACCCTCTTGGTTGGCTGTTTATCATTGGCAAGTTTTCTGCAGCCTGTTCCATTGTTTGCTCAGTGGTTTCAACCTTTTGTACATTGGTCAATCCTTCATTTATTTGATCAACGGGATGATTCCTTCCCAATTGCCGTTGTTTTCATAGTATGCATTATACTAAACAGAAAAGAATAACAAGCAACTTGTAATAAAATATTCTTCAGGCATCTAAGCAAGTGCTAAATCAGTGGGGATAGAGCCGGGGGCGTTCAGTCCTGGAGATAAAGCTCTAAACTACTAAATGTGTAAGTGCACTGGATTTACTGATGAGTCAGGTAATAGAGTGTAATTGATTAGCAGCACCTGGATGATGCTGCTGCTGCTGCTGATTGTGCTTTACATTCCAGCACAAACAGGATGGATAATCAGAGCTGGAAATAAAATGGCCAGCCTTCAGTCTCAAACCATTCAGGCAGAGGAGGAAGGCAAAAAAATAAACCAACAGGCAAAACACACAGCTTACAACTAAATAAAGTCACAGTTATCATGTCAAACCTTAGAATGAAAAATAAAATGTTTTAAATATTTGCTATAAATACAACTCATTTAGTACTGTGCGTTTTGGCTGTCTCCTCGCTCAACAGACCTCAATCAAATGACTGAGTCAATAGCCTCTAGATTGTGAAGACATGTTGAGGACCCATGAAGTCGTCTGACTCAGCTGTGCTGGAGAAGGGACACATGGATGAAATCCAGGACAATGACCTTTATCTATTTACATTTGGAACAGAAATGAGATTGATTTTTTTAAGCCACTATCTTAGTTAAATATTAAAGTTAAACTGAAATAGGCTTAAGTAAGAACAGTTTTCCGATCTGGTGTCCTTTATCAAGGTCTAAAGAATTACCAACAAAAATATGCATTGAAGCTGCAGTAGGGAATTTTCAGAAAACTGTGAACTTAAGGGCTGGTTATACTCCCCATAGCAGTGTGTCGCAGTGAGCTTGGCGCAGACATTTTTGATTTATGCTCAATTCGTTATGGGTCTAGATACGGCCGAGGCGGTGAGGAAGTGGGGGCAAGTTTGTCCGACAACGGAGGGATATGATGGCAAAAAAGAGCAGGGATCCAGGTGGAAAAAGGGTCCCAGCGTTCTCGTGCACCTCGCTCTTCTAGCTGGTCAAACTTCACGAGTGGTTTTTCATAATTGCGGTCATAAAAACAAAACAAGCCAGCCTCCTGTCTGCAGTCACCTGCAATTTGGGGGAGGTGTAGCAGAGTGTCTGCCGAGGGGGCGGGGACGTCTTTGCATTCACTGCGACCCCTACGCATACAACCTAGTTTCGAAGTATAAATCAGCCTTTAGTCTGAAAATTTAAACAAGCAATACATACTACATACATGTTCCTCCCCCTTTCTGATAAACAAACAAACAGCTATGGTACATTCAGGGATGGAAAATAAATGATATGCTTTAAGGGCTGATTAGACTTCTGCAACCGCACACATCTAATGTCGCTTGGGTCTGGTCGCAAACCAGTTAAGCTGGAATTTTTAGGGACACAAAGCAGTTTCCCACCTAAGCGCAAGGAGGAGCCTATTCAAGAAGTTGCGAGAACTTCGGCGGATGGTCACGAGAATTTTGTCTGTTTATCTGTTTTAGCTAATAAAAAAAATCTAACTTTTTTTAAATCACCAACTGCACCTTTTAATACTATAAATATGTTCTGTATTTACTGTAAGGACATCCTTATCTTTTTGACCTTCAATCTATCTCCAGCTTGTAAAGACTGTTTTTGTTTGTTTGTTTGTTAGTTTCTTAAATAACATGAAGGTCACACTGATCTTTCTCCATCCTTTTCCCATCTGCACTCCAGACCCTCAGTGATAATAGGTTGACTGGTTGGATTTTGTTCACTAAACAAGCCAAATGCTGAAGTCAGCCAGTTTCCTGGTGCATAAAGCAAAGCTGAAGTGAAAGGTAACCACTTTGACGGGAAAGCTTCATTGCAACAATAAATTGTATATTTTACCAGCCTTCTCACGTACAAAGTCATGATTGTGTTTGTAATGGGAAATATCACGTGAACCTTTCATGTACTTTTACCTCCTGATGAGTCCTAAAACCTTTTCAGATCAATCAAAACAATAAATACAAGCTGAAAAGAAAACAATATTTTAAAAAAAGATGCAATGTATAATGTTATAACAGCTTTACCAATGTCAAATGCAATTGACATTGTCAAATGCAATTTACAAACTGAAAATAGTGAAAAACATGAAATATTATACATATGAAAGAAATAGTCAAGTAAAAATACATGCAAGTTAAATAGGGACTATGTGCTTATTGGGTAGGTTTTTAGCTTATAAAGGAACTCTAGCAAAATACTGGAATTAATCTGTTCACCTTAAAAACCAAAACAGAGGTAAAACAAGTAAAAATGTAGGAAACCAAAAAGGCAATATGATTCTAAAGGGAAGACTGGCTATAATCATTTAGTTTTAGGTTTAGCTCATCAACTATCTGAACCTGTAATTACCAGGTAATTAATTAGAATATTGAGGGGTGGCATTTCAGTTTTACCAGAACTGGATTCATTTTTGGTTAGACACACCAGCACAGTCCCATATCATTTGGAAGTCATTTGGGAGGCTGGATTTAGAGTCTGTAACCATGTAGTTTGTTTACCAGAACTGGATTCCTTTTTGGTTAGACACACCAGCACCGTCCCATATCATTTGGAAGTCATTTGGGAGGCTGGATTTAGAGTCTGTAACCATGTAGTTTGTTCATTTAAAATCCTTTAATAAATATTTTCAAATTAAAAAGACTCTTCTAGAAGCAAATGCTTTGGAAAATTGCAGAAATGTTATAATTTATTGCAGTCTCATCCTTCTGTTGGTTTTAGTTTGGGGGGGGTTCAATAAATAGACAAAAGGTTCTCATACCATTTAATTTTTCATATTTAACTTTTTTATCATTTATTTTCATCTTTTTTTTAAACTCCATTCATAGATCTTATAAATAGTTTATCTTTGTAACTATAAACGTCATAAATTATTAGTTTTAACGTCTTTTGAATATTTGTTGTCCCTATCACCTCTGACCATATGGCTTAGAACCTTGTCTTTATTTTATGAACACTCTCAAACTGCCTGTATAAAACATAATACAATTTTAGTAGGAGCATTCCTTAACATTTGGGCAGCACCAAGTGCAAGAAATTGCACATGCACTTTTTTTCAGCCCTTATTCTGAATCTTTAAAAATCAGATGTTAAATATGAAAAAAAGCACTTGGTACCTGTAGCTTTTCTAATAAACTCTCTTATTTCTACAACAAAAATGTGACAGTAGGAGGATCGAGCATTTACTGCGGATACAAAGTTGGTGATTATGCTGTAGAAAAACAGGTTCTTTCTTTTTCTTCTATAAAAGAACAACATAAGCTGTATTTCAAGTCATAGTTTAAATTCATTTTTAAAAAAATCATAAGTAAAACCTTTAGAATGGCATTTTTGTTAACTGAATAGAGCATGATAATCTATTATCAGTTCAGATTTGTAACTGCAAAATATTTCCCTGTAAGAAATAATCAATATTTTTTTTTCCATTTGCAGCATAAAACCTCTGTACATGATAAGGCTAGGTTCAGCTTCCAGGAAAACTCTCACATTTAATTAAATAAAATGTGGCATCAGGAAGTGTCAGAGTTTATCGGGGTCTTAAAAAAAGACTCGGCGGGTTGCGATGAAACACATCAAACACCTTCAGAGAGCCGGAGCTGCCTACCTGCGCTGTAAGTATGTATGGCTGAAAGAGTGACTGTAAGGTTCAGAGGAAATCAAACTCACCCCGGCAGCAAAACCCAAACTTCCATCCAAGATCCGCTTCTGAATAGGGCAGAACAGAAAAGAAAATGCACACAAGTCAGATAAAATCAATGTGCTGAAACCTTGACAGCATAAAAGCTACCATTCAGTTAACCTCTTTGTGGAGACAACCTGGCAAACATTGCTAAGTGTCTAAAGAGCCAAATGTAGGAAACCAAAAAGGCAAGAAACCTCGTAGCAAAACAACTCAGATTTCACTTAGGAGGCTGCAACACAATCTCAACAAATCAAAAGGCCACAGAAGCAAGGGTAATTTCAGCTGAGAGAAGCCTAAAAGCAGAAAACAATGACTAACACAAGTATGTACATTTCCTTTCCTTTTACAGGTAAAACCAAAAATGAGTGCAGTTCACAAATGTTGTAGAAAAACATAAAAAATTCCAGCAATATGTGTTAGAAAATGACTCCCATCTGAAAAGCTTTGACATAAAATACATAGAAACCTCTGCAGACCTCTGCTGAATTGAAAATATGGAAAATAACACTTAAAATTGAACCTATATAAATTCATTTAAGTTCTATATACAGAATTATCTTTTATACACTCTGTTCTGATTTGTATTGGAAAAAAATATTAATGATTAATTTTTTATCCTTTATCTAAAGCACACCAAACTCTGAATAGAGAGGAAAGTAAAAAAAATCCAAATATCAAACATGTCTTTGTTAATATTCTACTTTTTTCTAATCCTAAGCTGTTTACAAACATAAAACCCTTACAATTAAAATGCAAAAGAGATTTTAATGTCAGGTGAGTAAAAAGGTTTCCTTCATTGCTGCTTGTGTTTGGTATTACTGAGGGTTAATGACCTTACCAATTCAAAGCCACTAAAACTTTCTGATGTTCCTTTCTTACAATTTAAGGGCCCTTGAATAAAATGCCAGATTGGTCTCCAGGGTAACCACATTTATTTCTGACCGGCTCCCCTCATCTGTGTGGGCTCACATATACAGTCATGAAAAACATCAATAAACCATTGTTTTCTTCTATTGTTTAAAATAAATGTTTATTACCTGAAGAATACAATAAAAAAAGGTGATTTAATCAGTTTTTCCTACAGGTCAGCAAGTGGACTGTTTGGAAAGTCGTGGTCTGGAAACTAAAAGACGCTCCTTATTCCAGGTCATTAAGCTGTTTTTTTTTTTTTTATTTAGTACCTTTTCAACCATTATAAAATATTTCCTAACTTTTGTGTTTATAAGCTGAGTTACAACTAGCAGAAGGACACGTCTGTCATGGCCCTAGGGGGTCTGTATAGCTGTCACTGACACCAAGCAACTGTAAGAGGGGTTGGCAGTGACCCTGCCACACAAAACAACCACAAATGTTCAGCTTTACAGCAGATGTCACTTCCTCCTCTTTCCCCATCCGATATAAAGACGGAGGTCTACCTCACTAAACAAGAATATGGTGCAAAGCCAATGTTTCTTATTTTCATCATCATCATATGATATTGCTTCACCACAATTAGCTTTACCTCATCGCTATTCATCTTTCACAGCCTCTGGAAATTTAAATTTAGCTCAATCCAATAGCAGGGAGATCAGGAATTTACCACAATATCGGCGGAATTTGAATTAAAATTCAATAAGGAGAGCGGAAGAGTTTTGGCTGTGAATTCAAACAGGTCGAGCCTTCTGTGGCTTTCACCGCCCGTACCCTCTGTCGCCTAGCAGTTGAATACTGGACTTTTAAAAAATGTTTCTTTTTACAATTTTTTTCCTTTTTTTTATTGGAAAGTGAGCAAAGACTACACTCATGAGAATACGGACTGGAATAACGGTGACAACCACCGAGAGTCTGAACAAATAAAAGCCAATAAAATGTAATGATATAGAAAGTAAATCTAAACAATGTATGTAAAAAAAAAAAAAAAAAAAAAAAAAAAAAAAAAAAAAAAAATATATATATATATATATATATATATATATATATATATATATATATATATGAAAAATCTCTTATATTCAACAACAAAGAATACTTAGTTAGGCGAATTGTGCAATATAATAATTAAAAAAATAAAAATCATAACAGATTTATTACCCACAATGGAGCTATATTAGAATCTCTCCTAAAATTACAGCCAAACTCATTTATACAGTAACAGATAAAAACATTTAGATAAATCAAACATTTCCGCCACATATCTGACTCAATAACCATTTAAAAAACTATTTTCATTCATTTCAGAGGGAACTATTCACATATTTGTTTTACATTAAACTGAACTTCCAATATTCACCACTGTTTGGCGGCAAGTAACCTTTTCCTTCTGATCACGGAGCAGCCGTCTTGCTTGGTCTCGCAATGAATCCTGGGATATCCAAGGATAGCTAGGATACATCAGAACCATCCTTCAAATCGGGCAAAAAGAAGGACGCATTTGTAGGCTGCATAACGAGGAGTCTTGGCATGCGAACAGGCCTCGGTGCCACGCTATGACGTAATCAGCCTTCAGAGGACGCAGCCCCTGAATTCTAATTTAGCCATAGTCTTTACCACGCTTGTCCTCATGGGCAATGCAGTCTTCCTTCAATTAAAACATTACAGCTTCTCTAAACTTGGGGAGCCAGAATTGGCCAAAATTAAAGGCTCTTTAGTTCTGCTTTAAGTAGAGTTGGGAAGCTAAAAGGCTTTAGCAGCATGTAGGTGAAGCAGCAGAGTAGAGGCTAGTTAACTAAACTCAACCCCTGGGTAATTTAAGGTCTAAACAAAGCTTGTTAGCAATTTAAACAAAGCTTGTAAGCAATTTATCCAAAAAGATGAACCCTCAAAGTGCTCTATCACTTCCTTTTTGTATTGTTCTTATTTAGCTGATCTAAATGTTAAAATATAAACATAAAGTATATAATGAAAACTGGAAAGTATTTAAATCACGATTAGGTACCAAACAAAAATGTAAAGCTTTGCCTTTTTTTTTTTCCTCTGTCATTCTGACACCAGCACTTTATTATGCTGAAATCTAACCAGGTTGGATTGTGGAGAATTAAAGTTATGCTCCAGTCTTTAAGCAATATTTACCACGAACATGTATTTAAATTCCTTTATTTTTAATGAGTCATGATATCAGATGGTGTGAAACACTACACAAACTCTGCTGCTTCCATTTTGGGTTTTTTATACACATCAAAAGCTACAAAGCGGCTTTCAGTGCTGCCACTGTTCTATTTGTTTTAAAATGATCAGATATATCAGAAATCTTAAGAACAAAAGAGAAACAAAATTAGTTTTTGTGCAAATGTAGGCGGGACAGTTCTGTGCAGGGAGTCGATCTAGTAAATCAGCACTAAGAGCCATTTAAAGAGTTAGCTTGTTTTTTTTCTCCAAATGATGGAATCAATCAGTCTGTTCTGTGAGAGTCATAAAAATGTAATTAAACATGACAGGCAATGAAATCAGTGGGCTATCTTAATTAGAAAATGGGACAGAGTGTTCTAGAAGGTCTAATAAAGCTTACACAAAACAGAGAGTAACGTGATGAATTGGACACTATTCCTCTCGGTGTGGCTCAGCAATTGTTAAAACATAAGGGCCTGACCTAAAAAAACTAAACTAAAAGTATAATAAAATATGTGTATGTATGTATGTATGTATGTATGTATGTATGTATGTGTATGTATAAAATACAATTTTTTTATTGAATAGAAAAAGCATGAGACAACAAATACATAAAACAAAAACGTCACCGTCTTCAGCCTCACAAACGAGCCTGATGCTAATGCTACTTGCTAATCAAGTACCATTACCATAATAAACATTCTTACTATCACGCAAACTGAGTCAAATTATTTTAGATCTTCTGTAAACATCACTTTTTAAAGTCTCGCCACGGATCCTCAGTCTGGACTTTGACTGGTCCTTTCTAATTGATATCTACACCATCCTTTTGTAGGATATTTACAGCAGCCATAGTGCTGGGGTAAAGTCTTCTCCAGCCTCCGATGGTGGATTCACACCGAATCCGATTCCATTTGGGTGCTGCTCTTTGCCTGACATATCCTCAGCAATTTGCATGGTCAGCCAAATGTTCCACATCCTGTCGCTTCCCTGTCTCAGCAATGGAGGGAACCATCTGCTGCTGGCTGGTTACAAGTCAGCGTTTTAGACCTGGTTTTACCAAGCGTCAGCGATGACACAAAGCATTGGTCACATCTCTGGCTGGCATTCCAAAAAAGTAGGGTGCTTTTGGTTCCAGGTACTCAGAGATTCACTTCCATACAGAAAGCCCACACTCTTATCTTCAGGTACCACAGAGTGCATGTCAGACTAAATAATACTACTTCAGTGATAGTTTCAAGGTGTTGCTTTATTGTATGTCTCGTACCATGTCTTTCAGTTGTGCTGTTCTTTTTGCATCTCGTTGCAGGTGATGAAGCAGACTGAAAATGTTTTTGTCTCTTTTCTATCTCCTCTTTCTTTCATCTTTTCTCTTTTTTTCTGTTTTTCCTCATTGCAGTGTCCATATAATCTGTAAAACTCCCTGCATAATTATAATAAAGCAATTTATATGCATGAAACAAGTGGAGCAACATGGCAATTGCCATACTGCTACACTAGTGAAAGTAAAATCTGTTGGGCTCTTTTTGGCATCAAGACAATTATTCTTATTGCCACATCATCAGACACGACACTGTTTAAAAAAAAAACTGGTTTAGCACACAACCTCAGTACATTTCAGATGTGTGGTCGGCTCTGGCTAACTACCCCTACTTCCTTTTTATTACAGCCAAGGGACAACTATACTACCATATACCATTTACATAATACCATCTAATGTGTTCAGTGTGAACGCACCGTGACGATGTACTTCTCTGTTTCCATATTCTAAACCACTCTCATTCTTATCCCAGTTCAGTGCAGTATTTCCACTGCAGGATGCTGCCAGCACAATGTTTTACTTTGGGGTGTGGGGTGTTTAAGCTGGTGTGTACAGTCAGTTTTTCACTACGCCTGGGTTTATGCACATCGTACAAATATTCTAAAAGGAAATTGTTTGCACAGAAATTTCATTTAAGGGGTATGAGTAAAGGGGGCTGATAGATGATTGCCACGGTTTTCATATGCTGCTTTTACTCTACAGCGGTGTGCTATGTACCTTGTGTTTACTTAACATATAAAATCACAAAGAAATTGAAGTTTTAAGGGTAACCAAAGCACTTCCATGTATTTTTTTCTTTTCACCGCAGTTCTGATCCATGGTTTGCTAATAAACAAAGATTTGAAAAAAAGAAGTCATATTTCACATGAGCAGGAAGTTATTAACTATTAAACTGCTGGGGGGCTTTTGAGACACAGTGATAACTGTCAAAGGTCTGGACTGATTGGATTAGAGGATTTAGCCTGTCATTGAAGGCTTGCTAAGGCAGCTTTGATCAAATTTCCAGTGTCATGTGTCAGTTGGTAACAGAGGGCCGCTGTCTGGCTGTTCTGTCATGGCCGATTGATTGATTGAGCTCCCCATCTAAAGGTCTAAAGGGACTCCACATTTTTTATCACTGGTTTGTTGCCTGCCAGACCAAGGCCCTTTATCATCTTGTCAATTTACCAAAAGACATCAGAAAAACATTCGTGTTAGGTGAATATCTACGTATTGTATTTCAGATTTTTCAATCCCTCCAGAAGCCTGGTTTTGCTTTGTTATGGTGCTTGGAAATCCTGGTGAAGTTAAATTAAGTTAAAGGTAAACTGATTCAGACTAAACAGAAATCAGAGCTAAAGCGCTCAGAAACCTCTCTTTGTCTGGACATCTCTGTGTTAATATGAGAAGCTAAGAAGGTTGCCTGCTAATCCACAGGAAAAAAGTTTGAATGGCGGTTGGAGATTCTGACTTAGCATACCAAACAGTGAGCTTAACCTGATAGCTGAGGGATTTTGTGTGGTATGGAGAAAGCCAAGGACTCCATTTCTCCATACCTTCAAGTTATCTCTAGTTTGGCATTTATGCATAAGTAACTCTTTCAACTGAATAAAGAATCCTTCATGCTAATAATGTTTACCTGCCGGCTGGAGAAGATGAAGACAAGGGCGGCTCCAGCAGCAGTCAGACCCCAGGTGAAGAGAGTACCCAGCAGGGCCTGGGTCACAGGGCTGTAGCCTTCCAGCATGGTGCCACACCTGGAAAAGTAGAATTAAAATCAGCCTTACCAATCTAGAATGTTAATATGAAGACAGACAGACAGACAGACAGACAGACAGACAGACAGACAGACAGACAGACAGACAGACAGATAGATAGATAGATAGATAAGGTTAATGGACCTGCTTGAAGGTGAACCTCCTCCATAGTCTCTTTGTCTTTTGACATTAGATCCTTATGATCCGTTTCCAAAGCAGGTTTTCTCCTAGGATCTACCTTCATTTAGCTCTACAGCCCTATTAATGCTACTCGTTTGATGAATGACATTTCTTGGTTTTGCTAACTAAATATAATTTAGTTCAACCCGTCATCACAAGGCATATTACAGAGACAATTCAACCAGATTATATAGTCAGATATGCTCAAAGTTTTCTATCTAAGGAAAACCAGCTGATTTCATCAACTCAATGACTAAGGCAATCCCTCACACCAAGCATGCTTGTAGCGACAATGGAGAGGAAAAACTCCCTTTAAACAGGAAGAACTTCAGCAGGACCAGACTCAGTGTGAGCGGCCATCTGCCGAGGTCGACTGGGGTTCAAGGAGACAGAAGCAGAGACACAAAAGGCAACTTTCAACTAGCCCCACTTAGGAGACTCAAAAGAGTCTCAAAAGAGTCTCCCAAGTGGTCTGTGGTTTTCCTTGGACCATGATGTCTTGGCGAATTTGCAGTTGTAACATCCTTTTCTTCATCATTAAACTGAATCGCGTAAACTTCCCCACAGCTTTGCACTGATTAATCTGCTTCGCTCCTTGGCCTTGTTCACTCATGTTCAGAACAGTTGGATTAATAACAAGGTTTAATAACACACAGGCTGATTCTGTTTGACTAGTTAGGTAATTTCTGCAGGTAATCGCCTAGTCGTTATTTAGCAGCAGTCTAAAATGCTCATTTCATTTATATTTCTAAATATGCTTTCAATTCTTCTTTTCTATCTTCTTTTTATATTACTAAAAGACAAAGATGTTTGTGGTTCTAACATAGGAAAACTTTAAATTAATAAACCATCTGCAACAACAGGTTTATTGTGACAAAATATTAATTATTGTATCTGTATAGTTTTGTTAACCAACATATAAATAATATTTTTATAGTTAAAGGTATAATGGAAGATTTTGGCGAATTTTTGAAAAGACCCGCTCCTCAACAAATAATGCACATGCACAACTCTGTACCCGCTCCCGACAGGAAAGTACTATTAAACATGTGCGTGAGCATGCATGAGTTCTCCTTATGCATGCTCTGTTTAAAAGTTGCTGTTTGCATCGCTCATACAAGCTTACTTTCCAAAAGAAGATTCAGTCAGACTCACCCACGCTAAGTGCAAATGGAGACGAGCATGTAGGACGGCCTTATGTAAACATATCACTAGAATGATTAACAATTGACCACTTATTTTGATGATCCACCCAGAAAAAGAACATCCTCCACTATACCTTAAGGCTTAAGTCAACACAAAAAGCATCAAAACTGCTTGATCATGAAAACCTTCTATGTTAGATAGCCAAGAATCATAAAGTAGCTGTAAATATGTGTTCTACAGCAAAAAATGGAGGGAACACAAAATTGAGGCCAACATACAAACATTGCAACATAAGCACGAACGACTCATACGGGACGTATGTGTGGCTGTGTGATCGACTCAATTGGGTGTTTGCTAGACTATCTTTTTCAGTTTGCTGTGAAATCCTTTTTTTCCCCACAACATTTGCACCCTCCAGCCCTGTAATGAAGTCAGACAAAGGAAAAGATCAAAGATAAAACAACAGAATGAACTACATCAGACTGACACCCTTTAAATCAACACGCGCGTGTCCTCAACCCGCACCATCATTGACCTTCTGGGATTGTTTTATCAAATTACGAAGCAAACAAGCATCTAATCCTGTTTGTTCTGGATTAGAATATCCTGGCTTTCCTTGTTTGCGTTTTTGTGGGAGTGGCCACACTGGGATCACATGATGGTGACAACCATCTAAAAAAACCTGTATAATCTAATGTGGTGGTTCAGATTGTTTAGAGAAGACAGTGCAGACGGTTATATTATGATATTATATGTAAGAAAAAAGAAGTGGTTTTGCCCCTATACACAGTTATCTACCAACTTCATGTTAATGTAGTTTTCATAATTGCAGATGCTTTGCAATTTTTTTTAAAGGCTTTTAGGATCTCCAACAGGGCAGATTGCTAATGTCACCACCAGTGCAGAGCTTAGTCAGCATTAGCAGAAGTTTGGCTGATGTGCATTTGCTCCTTTTAGGTGAACAACTTTAGGACATGCAGGAGTTGCTATTCTCCAAGCTACTGTAGTTAGCTGATAACATGGTAATTAATCTGGGGATTTTTCAACATACTGGAGAATCAGGTCACCAGACAGTAGGTTGAAGATAAGAACAATACAGCTTTGGCAGTTTGGTCAGCAAACATATAGATCATACCTGGATGTGGAGACAATGGTTCAGTTCTCTCAGGCCCAGGGTAGAGGGGGAGGCCCTGAACCAGCCCACTGCATTTATGAACAAACTATTTTTATATCTTATTTCTATAAAATTTTTCTGCAATTAAATACTGGTTTATTCTGAATCCATTTAAAATATTTTCCTATTATTACTTTCTATTATCCACTGCAGTATTAGGGAAGTACCCCCACCTGTCATTCCTTCACAATGATTATGCTGCTAAGGCAGCATCTTTAGAGTTCATCAAGCTGCAGGTAAAGACAGTAAAACACAGAAGATAAATGTTCCCCTCCTTCGTGGGTCAGGCAGAGGCTCCTTCGCACTAAACACAGAAACACTACAGCCGCTTTCACCTGAGAAATGCGCCACCGGAGCAGCATCACTCTGGTTTCCTCTAACCTGGATAAAGTCGACTTTCTGTCCAGGCGGTAACAGCTTAGTGCTCTGATGGAGCAAAACACTTAGCAGTTTCTGTCAAGAATTTGTTGTTTTTCTTGCTAGATGAAGTTATAATTAAGACCGGACCAACAGGTATCGTGGAGAGGTTGCCATGTTTGAATTTGAGCGATGTGGCTACCAGGCGTGTCTACAGCTGCATCAGACAGGTTCTGCTGTCAAGATGAATAAATAATCCTGCTGTACAGCCTCAACATGAAAATTCTGATCACAACATTTTTTGCCCAAATCTAAACATTTCACAAAAGCAGAAGTCTATAAATGGGATAAATTGCAAGTGAAGCGTGTATGAAAAGCCAAATGTGCCACATATTCATTAAATTAATAAGTGGCAAATTTTCTATTTGAAAATGTTAAAATATCAATATTACTTATGAAGCAAGATTACATAAATTAATATATTTTTATCCGAAAATAAATAAATTATTTGTACATTTTAAGGCATGCCCTTATTCAAAGATTGATAAATCAAGACTTTGAATATACTTTATACAATTACATATATTAATATATACCAAAACTTTATATATGAAATCTTTGCATTAATGTTAATAAAACATCTAAAAAGTTTTGATTCTTCTTAAGTTAACTACAGCTACTTAGTAAAAACACCTCTGACACAGCTAAAGCTTTAAAATATAACTTTGGTCGATGCAAAAAGTTTTTTACTCAAAAAATAAACAGTTCTTCTCCACAAATTATTTAGCTACCCATCGTCAAGTAATCTTTGCCACCAAACTAACTGCACTAAATCTATTTTAACTTTATTTGGCTAACCTGACTAATAAAAAAAAACAACTGATTAAATTGATTAAAGCTACGACGGAGTATTAGGGCCAGGCTAGAGATTTTT